CTGAAACGTCAGCTTTCCTGCTCCTCTGATGCTGCTTGGCCAGCTGTGTTCATCCAGCTCTACACCTTGTTATATTAGAATGATACAGTTTGGTTGAACAGAGCTCTACAGAATACACTGTTGTGGGGCAGTACAAACAAATGACATATTAAAATGTGCTCCAAAATGAAAGGGTGCAGATCTGAGAACGTCGGCTTCAGAGTTCTCAATGTCAGCCTTTCTTTGAATAGAAATGTAGCGCAAGGTTCCACAGGAGCAATCTGTGGATGATTCATAATCAGACCACTCTTGCAAAATCTCTTGTCACAAGGTAGTGATGGCATAACCTGATGCATAGGAGATTGATTCTGATTTCACCAAGTCAATATTCTGAGAATGGTACAGTACAAGATATAGCAGAAAAGACATTAATCACGAAAATGATGCAGCAGCTCAAGGTTTATGGTATCACAGGACTGGTATTATAGTAACATACCAGAATTTGCCAGTTTATTAGCATGGATGATGATGGACTCTCCTACTGCTTTGACGGATGAATGTAGAATGATTAAAATGTATGCAACATCATGAATACGATATTGTAACGTTCACTCTATACGATACAGAACAGGTTATAAAATATATACAAAATAATATGTATCATAAATTATGTTGTTTTGCTTGCAAAAATAATACTTGAGGAACTTAAAGAATTTACCCAGTAAGAATCACATATAGAGAACTGATTACGTTTTGGGCTAGCAATGATATCAAATTATTTCATCTTTTTCCTGTTTCTAAATTTTTCTTCACTCTATTTGAGAAAGAATTAACTGATAGTTCTCCAGTGTATGTGTTCAACAAAAATCATAACTAAAAACATTAAATATGTTTCTGCCTGATCTTCCAGGCCACTGTCTTTTGCTTTTGCATTTGAACATTTTACGACCCCTTTGTATCTCGATTACTTGTCCCAGTTGCTATTCTGCATCTGTTTCTTTAAGGAAATGACAGATATTTTTATCTTACAAGTAGCTGTGGAACATGTTGCTAATTTTCTATTTAAAAGTCACTCTTCATTTTCTCGTTTCTATAGCACTTTAATTCAGCAAGTCATGGCATTCATCAAGCCCCCTCTTAGAAACTGGTTCTTAATTTTAAGTTAACACTTAGCAATTAACTGAAACATTTATCTGGAAAACTTTTAAATAGCTGTGAGGATATGGTGCTTAATTGCAAGGGTGAAAAAAATGTCTTTCTTACCGCTGCATAAATAATTTTAAAGTGGTTTTAATTTTCAGTTTCTTGGAGAATCAGGAAGCTTTAATTCAAAAATCAATTTTAAATAATCTATAGGAAATATATTTATCATTCTAAAGAAACGAAAAATTTAAATTTATAGCCCCATGCCATCACAATATTGGCAAATGTTAACTCCATGAACTGAACTTTCAACATTAATAAGGCAAGGGCTAGATATTTTTAATCAACCTGTTCAGAGATGTTATTACATACACCTCTACAGCAGGCAAGACTTGAACTTGGGTCTTCTGGCTGAGAGTAGGGACACTACATCTGCACTACACAAGTCCTCAAAAAATGTAATATCAGATCATTCACCTGTTTACCAGCTCAACCAGTCTTCTTATCATCTTCTTTATTGGAATAATTTTTATGTAATTGTCAGCCAATTTGATACCACTCATCCTACACTCATTGATTTGATTTCCCTGTTGTACAATAAAAAGAGGGTGTTCAGCTCCTCAATACTGTTCAGTCATTCATATTAGAAATAGCTCTGCTGTATTTCAATTCCATTTGTCTGAATTGCTCCATATTCCTTGATATCCTCACTGAACAAAATCCACTGACCTCAGTTTTAAGAATTTATATTGACAACCGACATCCACAGCCTTTAGGGGAACAAAATCCAGATTTTCACATCCCTTCAGGAGATAAAAATGCTCACTCCCAAAATGCAGTAAGTTAAAAAATTGGGAAATCTTGCCTATTAGGAAAGTGAATACTTGCCCTGGGGTTCATTATACTGAACCTCTTAGCATTTTCACTTGATTAGGACATGCTAACTTACTGGGTAATTTTATACTGTATTTTATCTTGGATTAGGGATCTGAAACATACTTTAAAATATGATTTAATATATGCTCCAAGTCCAAAACTATTTTTTGTCAGATTGTTTTTATGCTTTAAAAAGTTGAGGCTAAACAAGTGTCAATGTTGGTCAATCAGAGAATCAATATCTTCTAATTTAGTGTTATATAGTTCAAAACTTGTACCATCAAAGTATGTTAAAATATTGATCATTTTGTTAAAATAGTAAATAAAATAACCATATGTCAGATTAAAATTCCCTCACTTTGTATTTATTTGGTTTAGTTGAAATTCTATCAAATATTACAAGAAAAATAACTGTAAAGTGAAAAAGTTGAAAATTAATGGTGCCCAGTTTGTAAACTATTGGATAAAGTAATAGTGTCTTTGGTTTCATGATCCTGATTTTAACCAACAGCAAAACACTAAAAAAGCTACCAGAAAAATATCCAGATGATCTGGTTATTATCATTATTATTTGTGAGACCTTGCTGTGGTCAAATTCTTTCAGAGATAGTAGGAACTGCAGATGCTGGAGAATCTGAGATAACAAGGTGTAGAGTTGGATGAACACAGTAGGCCAAGCAGCATCAGAGGAGCAGGAAAGTTTTTGTTTCGTTTTCTACATCACACCAGCAATGACACTTCAAGGTGAAGTACCCATACTGAGGTCATTGGAGATACTATAGAAATGCAAATTACTTACTTTTCTCCTTTTCATTTTAAAGCTTCTCGATCATAGATGTGGGTTTAGTTGGGTAGGAGCATAAATTAACATAAACAAAGAGGAAATAATGGCAAACAAGATATATGAAATAACCCAGCACTCTCTATCTCATTTTCATGCGGTCCAAAGTAGAATTTTTGATGCCGATCTCCAGGAAACGATGGTCGAAAACCTTTTGATTACCTTTCCAAAATCAGATAGAATATGGCAAGAAGTCTGTACAAAAGCAGCTTTGACCTCCTTATGAGTGTACAACTTGACTAGCTGAGTATATCTTGACACCATAGAAGACAAATAATTCCACCTGTGCATGAAATCATTTCACTATTCATGTTAATCATTTTGTTAATACCTTTGACTATGTTTGCCATTGCAAGGGCACTGCTTGTGGCACTTCAGTCCATATAACCCATCTGGACAAATTCTGTCTTGACAACGATCTCCTGTGAACCCTGGCTCACAAAGACATGCTCCATTAACGTGGTAACATTCAGCTCCATTGAGGCACTCACACCTTTGGGCACACTGTAAGCCATAGCTGCCAACAGGGCACTCCTCCTGACATCTATTTGAGAATAAATAATGAGTCACATTGTAGAAGAAAAGTACTGCAATAATCAACTCTCATCATACAAAATCAACTTAAGTTTATTCATCTAAATTTATTTACAGAGGGTTTGAAATTACACTACTTGAATCTATGAAATTAATGAGCTGGGTATTTTAACAGGAATTCTGATCACGGCTAAAATACTGGATACAAAATATGAGGAGTGAAGACATATACTCTTAACAGACACAGTTGTAATTTCAAAACTAGAGAGAATAATGAACACTTAAGACTGATTACATAGCTCTTATCAAAATTACCTATTAGCATTTGGCAAAGAGCCATTATCTTGAACAGGAATTAGCACAGGAACAACCTTACACATCTACTACAAAGCACTCATCTTATTTTCATAAAAATATAAGAATCAAAGTGCAGTACTTACCTGTTTTTGGACTAAGCCCAAAGGCGGGTGAGATTGGAGGACAGAAACTTGTGACCTGTCAGAAGGTGAAAGCCTGCTGGAAGTTCTGACAATCAGGTACCCAATAAGTAGTCAATGGATTTTCAACTGGTAATTGGACGTAGAATGAGCAGGTCCAACAGGCTGGTAGCTTCAGAACTCAGCAGTGCCATGCAGGAATTCATGGCTGCAGTTGAACAATATCCCCTAGACTCCCAGGATGGAGGGTCAGTCACTGTTGAGTTAATTGTCCTTTGGGGTGTGGCATGTCACAGGTTGGGGTTGTGGGAAAAGGAGGGGCATTGGGATTGTAAGCAAGGACAAGTTTGTCTCTCACTGAACAACCCCCTGTCCTATGCCCAGTCCTTGAAAATGAGTTGTTACATTATTGACTTATCTGTGGGATGTGGGTGTCACTGGCTGCTTAGCATTTATTGCCCATCCCTAGTTGACCATCAGAAGGTGTTGGTAAGCTGCTTTCTTGAACTGCTGCAGTTCACCTGCTGTGCGTTGACCCACAATGCCATTAGGGAGGGAATTCCAGGATTTTGACCCAACAGCAGTGAAGGAATGGTGATATATTTCCAAGTCGGGTTGGTGAGAGGCTTGGAGGGTAACTTGAAGGTGGTGGTGTTCCCATTTATCTGCTGCCCTTGTCATTCTAGATGGAAGTGGTCGTGGGTTTGGAAGGTGCTATCTGAGGATATTTGGTGAATTTCTGCAGTGCATCTTGTAGATAGTACACACTACCACCATTGAGCATCGGTGGTGGAGGGAGTGGATGCTTATGGATGTAGTGCCAATCAAACGGGTTGCTTTGTCCTGGATGGTGTCAAACTTCTTGAGTGTTATTGGGGCTGCACTCATCCAGGCAAGTGGGGAGTACTCCATCACACTCCTGACTTGTGCATCGTGGATGGTGGACAGGAGGTGAGTTACTTGCTGCAGTATTCTTAGCCTCTACCTGTTCTTGTAGCCATTGTGTTTATGTGGTAAGTCCCATGAGTTTCTGGTCAATGATAACTCCCAGGATGTTGATTGTGGGGGATTCAGTGATGGTAACATCATTGAATGTCACGGGGCAGTGGTTAGATTGTTTCTTATTGGTGAAGGTCATAGCCTGGCATTTGTGTGGTGCGAATGTTACTTCCCTCTTGTCAGCCCAAGCCTGGATATTGTCCAGATCATGTTGCATTTGAACACGGACTGCTTCAGTATCTAAGGAGTCACAAATGGTGCTGAACACTGTGCAATCATCGGTGAACATTCCCATTTCTGACCTCCTGATGGAGGAAAGGTGAAGCAGCTGAAGATGGTTGGGCCTAGGACTCTACCCTGAAGAATTCCTGCAGAGATGCTCTGGAACTGAAATGACTGACCTCAAACAACCACAACTTTCTTGGCTTTTCTGACGAAGGGTCTAGGCCCGAAACGTCAACCTTTCTGCTCCTATGACGCTGCTTGGCCTGCTGTGTTCATCCAGCCCTGCACCTTGTTGTCTTACAACTTTCTTGGTGTCAGGTATGACTCCAACCACTGGAGAGTTTGCCCCCTGTTACCCAATGATTCTGGTTTTGTTTAGGCTCCTTGATGCCACACTCAATCGAACGTAGTCTTAATTTCAAGGGTGTCACTTTCACCTCACCTCTGGAATTCAGCTCTTTTGTCCATATTTGAACCCAGGCTGTAATGAGGTCAGGAGCTTAGTGGCTCTGGCGGAAGCCAAACTGGGTGTCACTGAGCAGGTTATTGCTGGGCAGGTGCTGCTTGATTGCACTGTTGATGGCACCTTCAATCACAGATCAAGCTGAAATAATTACAGCCCAGGAGTAAATAAGCCATGGTAACTGACCATTTAAAGACCTCAGTTGGTTGTGAGTTGATAAGATAGTGCATGTGCCTCCCACTCATAACTTAACTCAGTAAATGTGAGAAGATAGCAGGGTTCTTATATATCCCAAACCTACCTAATTGAAGTTCCCTTCCCGCCTCAGGCCTGAAGGAGCCTGCTCAAAGAGCAACTGCGTCACATAATGAGACTATTCAGTTCATGAACTGAACATGTCCATTCAGCTTCTTGAACTTAACCTTGTAACTAAATTCCCTCATCCCTAGAACCATTGTGATAAATTTCCTCTGCATGCTGTTAAGGGGCTTCACATCCATTCTGAAGTATGGTGATCAGAAATGGGTGCAGTACTCTGGTTTTGGCCTAAATAGGGCTTTATAAGGGTTCACCATAGTTTCCTGGCTTTTGTACTCATGATCCCATATACTGATATATTGATCCTCAATATACTGTGCCATTTTCAAAGATCTTGGGTTGAATCTTCGATTTTTTTTGGATAAGTACAAGCTATGTCACATTTTTTGGATAGATTCTCGCTGTGAGGCTAGCGAGATTTCTCACTGTATCTTACCAGACATTATACATTAACTACGCCTATGGTGTCCCTCATGGGCAATTCCAGCTCCATCAGTCCCAAAACAACTCACCATTCACCAGATATCCACCAAAAGTACCGCATCCTTTGCATCTATGCCTTCTTGAGAGGCTGTTGTGCACCCTGACAAGTATTAGTAGCTTGTCATTGCCCTTCATTGACAGAGTAATGGCACAGCAGGCACAAAGCCACTCTGCTCACGGCATTTGCGGGTATGGTTAACATTCCCATGTAACCATATTCGATCAAACTAGACACACACTTTACTTTGTCCTCAGATACATTCTACCTGATGACCCTCTCTGGGTCCATGAGACTCTTTCTACATTAGCCAGTGGTCACTCGCATCCTGTCATTGACCAGTAGGGAAAATCACGTACAGACAAGCACGCAAGCAACAAGTCCCAACATGAACTTTTATTTACAGCCAGGAAAAAGGAACACAAAAGAAACAAACAGGGGCTGCAGTTCGTATGTACAATGCAAGCCAAATACTTGCACTGGCTGAGTGATCAATATATTGCATTCAAAAGGGTGCACCTACTACGATTTAATCCCCTTTCCATCCCAGATGCTTCTCAACCATTCCATTTTCCAATGCATCCATTTGAGCCCATTATCATACATATGTGATATATGGTGGAGTGATGTTTTTCTTGTCCCACAGCAACCTTGGAAGATCCACAAATAACAGGTTGCTTTTGTCCAGCACTTGCCTCCTTTTAAGTTATTGGGATGACAATGTTAGTTAAGTTAGTGCCAATGAATGGTGCAATCCACTGCATGCATTGCATATGCACGAAGAAATATTTACAACTAAAATGTAGGTGGAGTTTGCACAGTTGACCCTAGCAGGCTCCCCATGCACACTTATTGAAGATTGGCAGAGGACCACCCAGGACCATATTTGCCCAAACCTCTAACCAATTTCCATCTAGACATAAAATAAAGAAATGCAGACACTGAAGGTCTGAAACAAAAGAGAAATTGCTGGAGAAACTCAGCAGGTCTGGCAACATCTGTGGAGAGAAAGCAGAGTTAACATATTGAGTCCACTGACCCTTCTTCAGAATTGACAGTAGCTAGGAAATGTGGTATTTATGCTGATGACAGGGTGGGAGTAGACACTCACTCCGCTCCTGTCCACATTTGCAAGGCAAAGAATGACATGGATGATGTTAGCATGCAGGTAGGCATTAATAAGCAAGTACTAAGAAAGCAAGTGAGAGTTGCAAATTGAGGGGGATTACAACTTGTTATATACCTTATTAACACCACAACTAAGACCTTTCAGTTCAACTAATCCGCGCCAATCAGATATCCAAATCTGACCTAGTCCCATTTGCCAGCATTTGGCCCATATTCCCTCTAAACCCTTCCTATTCATGTACCACCCATTGCCTTTTCAATGTTGTAACTGTAACGACCTCCATCACTTCCTCTGGCAGCTTGTTCCATACATGCACCACACTCTGCGTGAAAAGGTTGACCCTCAGGTCCCTTTTAAATCTTTCCCCTCTCACCTTAAACCTATCTCCTTGGAAAAAGACTTTGGCTATTCACCTTCATGATTTTGTAAATGTCTATGAGGTCACTCTTCAGCCTCTGATGCTCCAGGGAAAAATACCCCAGCGTATTCAGCGTCCCCCTTATAGCTCAAACTTTCCAGTCCTGGCAACATTCTTGTAAACCTTTTCTGCACCCTCTCAAGTTTAACAACATCCTTGCTATTGAAAGATGACTCAGAATTGTACACAGTATTCCAAAAGTGGCCTTACTAATGTCCTATACAGCAGCAACATGGCATCCCAACTCCCATACTCAGTGTTACGACCAGTGAAAGCAAGCGTGCCAAATGCCTTCTTTATCAGTCTGTCTACCTGCGACTATGCACCTGCACTCCTAGGTCTCTTTGTTCAGCAACACTCCCCAGGGCCCTACCATTAAGTGTACAAGTCCTGCCCTGGTTTGCCATACCAAAATGCGACACCTCATATATATCTAACTTAAAATCCATCTGCCACTCCTCAGCCCATATGACCAAGGTCCCATTGTACTCTGAGATAAGCTTCTTCACTATCCACTACAACACCTATTTTGTATCATCT